CAATCCTGCAGCTGATGATCGGGAGGCCCATGCTGAAATTGAAACCGAAAGTTGCTGTTTGCTCCATGAGGCAAACTGCTGGGAGGCAGATTTTTTTTTCTTGTGCTAATCAGGCTGTTTGCTGCCAGAATGTAAGTCAATAACTATAAATGCCTATAGAATGTTCAAATTATTAGACTTATTTTTTAAAGACTGCTTTATTATTGTTCCAGACAGCTTAACAAAATGAAGAAGCTTTTTAAAATAAATGCTTGATCTGAAGAGGCCCGGTGCTATTGTATCTTCTTTTAAATAGCAGAGAATAACTATACTTCCAGAAAGTACATCAATTTTAACAGCATCTGTACAAGTACAGTCTGAAATGTAACACCACAAACAGTGTATATTGTCTGTCCTATTTGCTGTTTGCTGCAAGGAGGCAAATTGCTGGGAGGCAGAGGCAGATTTTTTCTCCTTGTTTCCTTCTCCAAAAGCTAGGTGCGTCTTATACTTTGGAGCATCTTATACTCTGAAAAATACAGTATTTTGCCATTTTTGCCAAAGAAGTGTGTCTTCTCCAGTTTCAGATCCAGACCCAACTCCAAAAAGGTTAGTTAGGACTCTACACTGTCATAAATTCATCTAAATTGCCAACAAGGTGCATGCTCTAATTCTCAACGACATCAGACGCACCATGCATCATCTGGACAACCAACTGTAACAAAATAATCAAACTTGAAGATTGTTCCACTGGAAGAACAAGCTCTCAAAATACTTTTCAAATGAAGCGAAGGAAGGGCGGGATGGGTGATAGTTGACAGGGACCCTTGAAATTTGTTAGTGGGCTAATAATATACAATTGAATATGTCATTCACACCAACCGCCTTAAATTACAAGAATTGTTCCTTGGGAGCAATTAAAGATATTCATTGTCTCTTGAAATCTGCATTTCCATGTGCTTGTTAATAACAGCAAAGAGGGCTATTAAAAACACAAAAGCTATTAGAGGAGATTTAAAACAAAGAAGCCTAATTTACATACAATTCCAGTTATTTTTAGCAGAAGCATTGTATTTTTTTCCCCCTTGAAGCCTCCGATTCATGGAGTGTAGGAATCTCTCCCAAAAACCACCTGAAGGAACTTCATTTGTAGCTCGGAAGCTATCTCTGGATTGATAATTCACAAACCATCCACGGACTCACAGAATTAAGCTAAGAATTTTAATCTTTTTGGGGTTTAAGCACTTTACTCAAAAATACCTAAGGCACATTGTCTGTCTAGATAAAAAAAGCAAACTTATACACTCAGATGCTCTCGCTGCTATTCTGCGTACACAAAGTCTTAAGTTTAAGTCACTGGCCTCTGATTTATACTTCAATCCTTAAGCTGATGTACTTTCACGAGCTTACAAAGTACGTGATGGAAATTTTAATTGAATCGGATTTTCCATCCCAGGAAGGGGGAAAAAAAACCCCTAGGTTTTAAGATATAGCTCTGTCTTCATTACTGGGAAACAGACGCTTGTAATATAGATCCTCCCAGCAGCCGTCACATTCTTGCTAAGATAATGTTTATTCTCCCCTGGTGATGGAGAATTTACGATCCTTCTACTGAGTTTGCTCAAGATGTCATTACCCAAAGATGTGTTGGAAGTTTTACACCACAAAAAAGACCTCTGAACCAAGAGCAGAACAACGGCCCCAAACATGAAAGAACAAGTAGAGGGGGGGAAAAAAATCTAATAAAATCAGAAAAAGAGAAAGAACAAGATAATAAGGAAGCTCAGGGCTGGGAAAACAGTCCCTGAAATTGAGAACCAGAAAATGATGCATCTGAAATTACTGTACAGCGTACACGTATAATGATAGGATTCAGATATCAGGGTCAGGCCATCTTCTGCTTAAACACAAGATTGCTGAATAAACCACTGTCTGGGCTCACCCATTCGGTTAGCTCACTGATCCTCAAACTACAACCCGTGGGGCGGATATGGCCTGCCAATGCAAAGTATCTGGCACGCGGAGTGGTGGGATTCAGCCCCACCCCTCACCCCGCCTTATCTTCCATTGAGCATCAACTCCAGCTGCACTTCTGGTTAGTAATTTCACCAGTTGGGCTGCACTTCTCATCACACTGCTGCTGCCGAAGGTAAGGCTGAAGGGTGCTGGGGAGGACCAGCTGATTAATCTCACCAGTGCAGCCACATGGTCCATGGCTGGTGGGTGAGTAGGGGAGGGGCTGCTGCTGGCTTGAAAAGTAAGTGGTTTAAAAGTCTTTAAAAACGCTTTAAAAACAGCCTTTCAGGAATGTTTTTCACAGCCATATGAGCCAGATCCGGTGGGAGAGTAGGGGAGGGGCAAGTACAGCAAGGACAAAGGCAAAATGGATTGCTAAATTGGCCAGCTTGTAAAGTAAGTGCTTTAAAAGTCTTTAAAAACGATTTAAAAACAGCCTTTCAGGAATGTTTTTCACAGCCATATGATCCAGGGCTGGTGGGTGAGTAGGGGTGGGGCTGCTGATGGCTTGTAAAGTTAGTGCTTTAAAAGTCTTTAAAAACGCTTTAAAAACAGCCTTTCAGGATGTTTTTCACAGCCATATGATCCGGGGCTGGTGGGTGAGGGGCAAGTATTGGCCATGCCCACCCAATCACATGACCACATAGGCACGCCCACCCCGCTAGTCCTGGCCCCCTCAACGGTCTGAGGGACTGTGAATCAGCTCCCTGTTTAAAAAGTTTTAGGACCCCTGGGTTAGCTGGTTGCTACAAGATTTTCTGTTTGTGATCCTCAAGTTTTTGGTCAATGATCTAAGAAACTGTCAGAAGGCTGAAACTAATCTCATAGAATTAGATACTCAGCTCCAGCTTTGCAGCAGCAATTCAGACCCGATAACCCATCCAACAGTTTTATGGGAATCTTTGCCAAAGCTTGCAGAGCAATTAAGTTTAAAGACTTAAGAGAAGTGCCCCCCCCACCTTATCAACAAAAAACACGCCTGCAGTTTAAAGCTTGTAGTTAAATTGAGTGTAATCAAAATCTACGGTAAATGATTGCTAAGCCGCCTTTCCAGATGGTATCCCAAGGGGAATGGTTGTGCCTTTCACACGATCTCGCTGTTTTACGTGTCAGGTGCAAAGCATTTCTCGTGCCTTTGGCTCAAGAAACCACAGGAAAGCAGTCCTAAGAATTTGCCATTAGGAACATTCGCAGAAAAAAATATTCTGACAAACCAAATTTTCTCCCCCCAAGAGTGAATTTAATTATGGTTTCATTGGCTTGAAAAAGGAAGATGCAACGAAAAAGGAAGATGCCCAGAGATTAGATGATTGTTTTGGGATAGGAAACAAACCATGATCATCATGACACTCTTTCATGAAAACTAGAAATATCGGCTAATCTTTTGGAGGCATCTTAGCCCAATGTANAAGAAAGGATTTTTCGAAATGACTATCAGATCATTAGTATTTCTTATACAGTAATTAACATGCTCTGATGCTAAGGAGTTCTACTCCCCCTCCTCACCTGCAAAGAACTCTGTTCCAACTGCCAGTTGCCTCACATTCTGTTACCTCAGTTCAAACTGGCAGACGTTCCACTCCTTCACGCAGGAGCGGTCTGGGGCTCCTTACAGTATTAAACATCGGTACCTCACCAAAATGTCTACGTTTTCCACTTATGGAACTGGTTCCGGACTCAAGGTGGCGGGAACGATATTCCCTTATGTGTTTCAATCACCAACCACCACTGAGCCAACGGATTGAACAGGATTTCTCCTGCATTGCCTGATCACATAGTATTGTTGCAAAGCACAGGTATCCAGCTAGTATGTATGTATGTATGTATGTATGTATGTATGTACGTATGTATGTATGTATGTATACATACATACAAACACATACACACATTGAAAAACAGGTAATTTTATTTGCAAATGACTTCACAATTTTTTTTAATTAGCAATCATATGTTTGCACTTTGTGGAGGAGTCTTTGCAGCAGCTCAAAGTCAACCCTATCACTGTGGCTGCTTCGTGAGACTTCCCTTATCAAATTACGCTGCTGCGTTTTATTGAATTAGACACACATAAATGCAGATTTAATTATCACCTGGCGCCATTCTTTCAGGAAAGGAAAAATGGAAAGGAGAGTAACGTTTCCTCTCCTCCTCTGCCTCATTTATTTTGTGTCTGATATATCAAATGTCAAGGACCATGAATGGCTCGGTTACTTTACTTGCAAGTACATTTCATGTGTGATGGCTACCTTTGTATAAAATAAGCCAGCATTGCTGTTTTAAAGTGAATATTTCATACAGGTAATCCTCAACTTTAAAACCACAATGGAGCTCTGTTGCTAAATGAATTAGCTTTCAAACGGGGTGATATATAGCAATAGCACTTAGACTTATATACTGCTTCGCAGTGCTTTGCAGCCCTGTCTAAGTGGTTTACAGAGTTAGCCTCTTGTCCCCAACAATATAGATCCTCATTTTACCCACCTTGGAAGGATAGAAGGTTGAGTTAACCTTCAGCGGTGAGGATCAAATCGTTGGCAGTGGGCAGAATTAGCCTGCAATACTTCATTGTAACCAATATGCACAGGGAGGAAGGAAAGGAAGGAAGGAAGAACAACAACAACACTAGTAATAGCACTTAGACCACTGTTTCTCAACCTTGGCGACTTTAAGTCCTGTGGACTTCAACTCTGGCTGGGGAATTCTGGGAGTTGAAGTCCACAGGCCTTAAACTTACCAAAGTTGAGAAACACTGACTTAAGACTTATGTACCGCTTCACAGTGCGTTTACAACCCTCTCTAAGCAGTTTACAGACTCAGCCTCTTGCCCCCAACAATCTGGATCCTCATTTGGCCCACCTCAGAAGGATGGGTCAGCCTGGAAAGATTTGAACTGCCAAACTGCTGGCAGCCGGTGATCAACAGAAGTAGCCTGCAGTACTCACTCTAACCACTGTGCCACCACAGCTCTTATAAATCCCAGTCGGTCCAGACCGTACAATTCTTACCTTGCTTGGCTTCCAGCTCTTCCTGGGTCAGCTGGGGCTTTTTTTCTTCCGGGGCACTGCTGGAGGAGGCCAGGAGGGCGGCGCTGTTGGAGGTGCTACTGGCGTTCTCCTGGCCCTCTTTGCCTTCTTCCTCCTCCTCGTCACTATCGTCATCGAGCTTCACCCGGTTCTTCTCCAAGGGGAGCATATCGTTTTCTTTGGCCCGGATTGCAAAGCTGATGGGTGCAAATGACACTGTGGGAGAGGAAAGGATTATCTGTAAAGCAGTCACTGCAAAGTTGAAAACTGTTTGGTGGTTGAGGTGGCTGGCTAGGAAACAGGAGACGGTGAGTTCTTGTCCCAATCTTAGGAATGAAAGTTAGCGGGGTGACTTTAGGTCAATCGCCAGGCGACTGTGTATTTTAGTCCCATCTTAGCTGTGATCGCTGGCTGGGTAAATTTGGGTCAATCACTAGGAGATGGTGAGTTCTAGTCCCACTTTAGGAATGAAAGTTAGCGGGGTGACTTTAGGTCAATTGCCAGTCAACTGTGAATTCTAGTTCCATCTTAGCTGTAATCGCTGCCTGGGTAAATTTGGGTAAATCACTAGGAGATGGTGAGTTCTAGTCCCACCTTAGGAATGAAAGTTAGCGGGGTGACTTTAGGTCAATTGTCAGGCAACTGTGAATTCTAGTCCCATCTTAGCCATGATAGATGGCTGGGTAATTTTAGATCAATCAGGAAATGGTGAGTTTTAGTCCTGCCTTAGCCATAAAAGCTGTTTGAGTGACTTTGGGCCATTCCTTCTCTCTCAGCTCACGTCATCTCACAGGGTTGCTGTTGTGAAGGAGGAAACTTTGCCAGATATCTTTGCCAGCTTGAGTTATTTGTAAACAATAAAATAAAAGGCAGGATATAAATAAATAAATATTTTTACTGCAAGTTGCCAAGTTTTTTTTTATTGGGATAGGAGGTGAGATAGGAAGAACAGAAATACAAGGGTTGGCTCTGGAGCCGCATGTGGCTCTTTCATCCCTCTGCTGCGGCTCCCTGTTGCCAGTCAGCTCCACAACTGATAGGTTTTTTGGTTAGGACAGGTAGAGGAAAAAGGATGCTGCGCTAGGAGGAGACTCTATGGTGGGGGAAACGGACTTCCAATCGGCTCCAGAATTTAACTAGAGATGGGGGGGGGGCTTCCAGTTTGAGTGTTAAAGGTTGTTGACCCCTGGTTTCATAGAATAGAGGAGGATGCAGCCCCCAGCTTCGTTCGTGCTGCCCTTGGCTGAATTGCAATTCTCCTTTTTGAAAAAAAAAATCTGTTCAGACCAGGGTAGGATACAGAGGGAGAAAAATGAACCCAGAAAGCAAGTATCAGAAAGCAATCGGTTCCCTCCACCCATTTTTGCCTCGGCCTATTAATACTTTGCAACCATGTGTTTCCCCCAAAGACCCCCCCCCCAAAAAAAATATGGTCCTTGAATGAAAGAAGGATGTTCCCTCTGCAAAAACAGAATTATGCTATGGAATCCCCTTCTGAGTGTATCACGCCTGGCCGCATCATTATTTGGACTAAAGCAGTTAAGATTTTCCACAGGAGTTTTGGGATTCTTCAGACAACTAGTTATTTTCTATGGATTAAGGGTGAGCTCAGTTATCCATCCAAGACCTTTGGGTAATCAAAACAGCTTCCTTGACACGCACAAGGGAGGCCCCAGCAAGCTTAGAGGAACCTGTGCTTGCTAGTAGCCCGGAGGTGACGGGGGACGACACCTGGACATAATGGAGAAGAAAAGCAGAACTGCTCAATATAAATGGAAAATGGGGATTACAAGATGCAAAATTTGCAGGCAGATACCTGGAAGGACCGTTTTGCATCAGAGCACGGGGTCCCTTGGTTGCAAAACAGAACCAGGCTGCAACCACTGGCTTAAAACGCCTCTCCTTTGCTACTGTGCTGAAGTCGCAAAGGTCCTTAACTTAACGACTGTCTCGCTTAGCAACAAAAATGTTGGGCTCAGTTGTGTTCGTAGGTCGAGGACTATTTTGCCCTGGCTGCAGGTCTTAAGAAAGATGAAATGCCAAGGAAATTAGACATGAATCCCATCGGGGAGAAAAAAAGAAAACCACACGTATATCGACAACAGTGCCAAGAAAGTTCCTCACCCATTTGCACCACTCAGGTGACCCTGAGGACATAGCTAAACCTCCAAGCGACCTCAAAGACCCTCTAAAACAGTGGGTCTCAACCTTCCTAATGTCGCGACCCTTTAATACAGTTCCTCATGTTGTGGTGACCCACAACCATAAGATTATTTTATGTTTTCCNAGGAAACAAACCATGATCATCATGACACTCTTTCATGAAAACTAGAAATATCGGCTAATCTTTTGGAGGCATCTTAGCCCAATGTAAGTCATTCTTGGATTCCAACACTGAGGCTGCCTGGGGTTGCTTGGAGTTGGGCGGCTAAAGCATCCATGGGAGCTTTCCATGGGAGAAGTTGCTTTAAGAGGAGTATCTTTTGGAAGTATGTTGGCCTTAATCTTAAGACATGTTGGCTTGGTGAAATTTAACTAGGGTCAGAAATATTCTATATCTCGTACTGGATCTGTAAATGTTCACTGGGCACATGATATAAAGCAGGATTTTGCCACCTCTGCAACTTTTAAGATGGGTGGACTTCAACCCAATTAGAACAATTAATCAGTGGAAGAACCTGCCTCCAGAAGTTGTGAATGCTCCAACATTGGAAGTTTTTAAGAAGATGTTGGATAAGCATTTGTCTGAAGTGGTGTAGGGTTTCCTGCCTAAGTAAGGGGTTGGACTAGAAGACCTCCAAGGTCCCTTCCAACTCTGTTATTCTATTCTATTCTATTCTAGACTTCAACCAGCCTGGTGTCTAGGGAATTGAAATCCACCCATCTTAAAAGTTGCCAAGGTTGAAAAACACCGATCTACGATAAGGAGAGAAGTACTTATTGTTCCACTTGGTTTGACATAAGCTGGGTGGACTTTAACTTCAGCTTGCTGGCTGGATAATTCTGGGAGTTGAAGTCCACCCATCATAAAGTTATCAAGGTGGAGAAACAGCAATCTAAGAGAAAGGAGAGAGGTACTTATTGCTCTATTTGGTTGGACTTGGTTTGACGCAAGATGGGTGGGCTTCAACTCCAAGTTGTTGGCCAGGGAATTCTGGGAGTTGAAGTACACCCATCTTAAAAGTTAACAAAGTTGAGAAACACGGATCTAAGAGATCTAAAAGTACTTACTGCTCCACTTGGTTACAGTAGCTTGGAAACCAACTACCTTGCAGCTTTGACTAGGAGAATCTGTGCCTACCAGAGTCTCTCCCACATACTTCCGAAGCTTTCCCATTATAGGCACGGAGGAGTGGGCCCTTTGCAAAATGCCAACTTCTCTGCCAGCCTCCCAACTGCAGGCAGGGATGATTAAATAAATAGATCGGGAGAGCCAAAGTACCACCTGCTCCTTGGGGGTTTCGGCTATGACTGATCATCCCTTAGAGGGAGGGAAAAAAATTCTTATTTTCTCAATACAGGCTATTTTTTTTTTTTGTCCTAATGAGAATGCTTGGACAGCTGCTGCCAGCTCTTGGATGCCAAAGATCAAGCACAATACACTTTTGTTCCTTAGGAATTTAATTTGATTTTTTCTCTGCCCTGGTTTGGAGGCCCCCAAACTTGTTTTCAGGAGCTACGTTAGCGCTAGCAAGTCCCCAAAGTTTCTGGGGACAATTATTTTCAGAATCGTAGTTCTTAGGTTGCCCCTGGCAACACTACGTCCCCTCACAGCTTTTTAGGGTTTTTTTTTTTTTACCTTTGCTTCAGACCCCCGATTCACCCATTTCTAAACAAGGAAGATGAAGAAAAGCCGCAATTAATAAAACAGAAGCTTCTATCGGTTCTAATGCACTGCCTCCATGGAATTAAGGGTGATGCAGTTATTAGCAAAGTGTGTTTCTTGCCTCTGGTTTTCCGAGCAGTTTTTTGTACATGCTGAGGGCTAGAAACACCCTCATACTTGTTCAAAAATAGTATCAGTCCCACCGTTGGCTTTGCTTTTAGCATGCAATTTTAGCCTGAAATGCCTGACCTCGACTGGAAAAAAGATCTTAAGATCTCAAATCTTAAAAAAACTCCAGGACTGAAGAAGATGAGGAGAACTCGGAAGGATGTTTGCCACTATTTGCAATTAGCACAAATGTACCAAGTCTTAATGAGGGACTAAGTGGCTAAGATGCTGAGCTTGTCAATCAGAAAGGTTCGAATCCCTAGAGCCGCGTAACAGAGTGAGCTCCCGTTACTTGTCCCAGCTTCTGCCAACCTAGCAGTTCGAAAGCACGTAAAAAATGCAAGTAGGAAAATAGGGACCCCCTTTGGTGGGAAGTGAACAGTGTTCCGTGCACCTTCAGCGTTGAGTCATGCTGGCCACATGACCACGGAGACGTCTTTGGACAGCGCTGGCTCTTCGGCTTTGAAATGGAGATGAGCACCGCCCCCTAGAGTCAGAAATGACTAGCACATATGTGTGAGGGGAACCTTTACCTTTANAAAATATGTGTTTTCCGATGGTCTTAGGCGACCCCTGTGAAAGGGTCGTTCGACCCCCAAAAGGGTCCCGACCCACAGGTTGAGAACCACTGCTCTCAAAGGATGTAAATGACCAGCTGTCTACAAGGAGCATCAATCCTTCCACTCCCCACCATCCAGTCAGAGCTGAAAAAGCTTCTTGGATGAAAAGTGAGACGTTTTGAAAGACAAACCAAAAAGTCCAGCTGCTTCTTGGGGGAAAAAAAAGCATCTTTGGGACAATCTTGACCTGGAGGACTGAGAATCTCCATAGACATATTGTGCTGGAGCTTGGCACAGCCCTCTGATATCTGTTTGTTTTTTGTGGTTCTCTCTAATTAGCTGTCACGTCGGGATAAAAATACACAAGAAAATATTGTGACCGTACATCCTGCTGTCTAATTTTTTCAAAAGATATCTCTTAAAAGAACGAGAGTGGGGGAGGATTAATATATATAAAAAACTGAAAGTATCTTTCCAAGCATGCTTCCCCCCCCCCCCCCCCGGAGATAAAGAGCGCAGTTGCTTTTGAAGGGACACAAAAATCTTTAGTAAATTGACTTTCTATTAAAGGGATGGAGTAAACCGTGTGGATGTATCTGCCCACTAAGTTGGAAATGCCCTTTATATGATTTGCAATTACTCATGAGAGCTGCTTTTCTACTTGCAGGGAGTTAACCCGGGTTTTTACCCCTGAATAATAACCACCCTCTGTTTGGGTAGTACGGACATCATTTGGACCTGATTAGGCTGCCAGTCTGTGGAAAAAAAATACAACTGGGACCCCTTCCTGACATTCGTTTCAACATCGTCAACCACTTCTCCAAAGCATCTGAGGGCAGGACAAGATGTAATGGGTGGAAAGTAATCAAAGAGAGATCCAACTAGAACTAAGGAGAAATTTCCCGACAGAACAATGAATGAGTAGAAACGGCTTGCCTCCAGATGTTATGGGTGCTGCAAGGCTTGAGGTTCGATTCTATGAGGTTTGATTCAGGCCCTATGATTCTATGGGACAGATAAGACAACTAGGTACATAGATGAAATAGGGAGATGAGATAGATAGATAAGATAGTAAGTAGGAAGGTAGGTAGGTAGGTGTCAGCCTCTGTTTCACTTGCTAGCTATTGCCTGCCATAGAAACAGGGAGGGTGGGGGCTTATGGTATTTGGAAAGGGAATCTTATAGTACTGGAGGAGTTATGTAGAAGGGAGTTTTGTTCTCACCATCTTCTGAACATGCTGATTGCTTGTGTTTGGACTTGATCAAGGCCAACCATCTCACATACCAACTTGATGAGGCTTTTTGAAGATGCACCCCACATGACGCCTNTTGAGTCATGCTGGCCACATGACCACGGAGACGTCTTTGGACAGCGCTGGCTCTTCGGCTTTGAAACGGAGATGAGCACCGCCCCCTAGAGTCAGAAATGACTAGCACATATGTGTGAGGGGAACCTTTACCTTTATCAAGTCTTAAGTAAATCTTAATAACCCTGGAAGGGGAGGGAAATTCTTCATTTCATCTGGCATAAATGCATTTGTCTATGTGTCTATGGATTGATCCTAATATGCTCCATTATGGCAAGCGGTCACTTCAAAACGTGATAATTTTTGACATGTCTTGGTGTGCACTTCCCCCAACGCAATGCCGCCCCATGAAAAAAATATGTTGTTATCTGGAGAGATAATTATACTCCGGTTCACAGATGTGTTTGGGAAATGCAAATAATGTACGCTTTTATTAGAAATGCAAATCTTAGCATTTTTTCCTCCTATAGTTTACCAAATACAAAAAACCTGCCCTTTAAACATGGATGATTTGCCTCATTTTGGAGGCATCAGGAAGAGTGGGACAGGTCCATTTATCACAATTCCTTATATTCCCCAAAGACCAACGTGTGGTTCATTTTAGACTATTTTTTCCCTTCCTTTCTTTAAAGAATACTTCTAATTCAATTTCAGTCAACACTAATGTTTTCAGCAGTACTGGTAGCTCTCCCCTTGCCCGTCTCAAAACAGCTTCTTGGCAATTTGGTTAGCCTTACCAGGTGGACCAGACGGGAAATACGGCCAGAGGAAGTAATTCTACTTTTGTGGAATAGAATTTACATGAATAGAATTTTACAAGTCTGAAAGTAAAAATTTCCCATTGTCTCCTTTACAGGCTGAGAAACTAGGGAGGGTCCCTTCTGAGTTTCTTTCTTCACCTATTATGCAGCTGTGGGGTGAGGGGCATGCCTTCTTTTATCTGACATTGCCTAAACACCTTATCTCTGTCCTGTTTCACAGTGTCTTTCTCATACACCATTGCAGCCATCCCCTTTAAAGGATAAGAAACTAGGGAGGGTCCCTTCTAAGCCTCTTTCTTCGCCCTTTATGCAGCTCTGGACTATGCTGTCTCTTATCTGACTCTTCCCTAAGCAGCATCTCTTCTCCCTGTCTCCCAAGGTCTTTCTCACAAGCCATTACAGCCTCTCCTTTGCAGCCCAAGAAACTAGGGAGGATGCCTTCTCTTTCTCCACCGATTGTCCAGCTCAGGGCTACAATGCAGTTATCTGACCATTCCATAGGCAGCATCCCTTCCCTTCATCTCCTGAGGCCTTTCCTACACTACCATTATAGCCACCCCCTTTACAGCTTGAGAAACTAGGGAGGGTCCCTTCTGAGCATCTTTCTCCATCTTGTATGCAGCTCTGAGCTATGCAGTCTCTTATCTAACACTTCCCTTGGCAGCGTGAGCCGAGGTAATGCAATGATTAGAGAGCAGTACTGCAGGCTACTTCAGCTGACTGCTAGCTGCAGTTTGGCAGTTTGACTTCCCATCTCAGCCAGGTTTGAGTTGCATTGAGGTAAACGTTGTGTTGAACAACAAACAGAAGGGAAGTTGAACTTCATGCATCATTGCATCAAATTAACGGGATGCAAGTCATGAATTACACAGTTAGTTTGTAATTCATTTTCTTCACATTGTAAAGCTAATTAAGGACTGTATTTTTTTTCTGGTGAATTGCTCTAGCTTATGCTCACCCAAAGCATTAAACCGCTTAGAGAGGGCTGTAAAAGCACTATGAATCGGTATATAAGTCTAAGTGCTATTGCTATTGCTATCTCTTTGTCCACTCTCTCAAGGTTTTCTCCACCTGCCATGACAAACTCCCACTGCGGTGTTAATCATGTCTCTTTTGCTCACCTCTAGGTTAAAGGCACTTTCCTCCATTTTTTCAACTTCCATGTCTGCCAGTGGATTCTTCAGATTCTGCAAAAAGAGGGCAGCTTTTCTCTTCCGTTCTGCTTGAAGCTGCTTCTCTTTCGATTCTTTGGAAGCCTGGGCTAGTTTTTCTCTGGCTGCAGCCGCCAATCGGTCTTCCAATTTCTGTTTTGCTGGTGGTGGTGGAGGAGGAAAAAGAGAAGAGACCGTCATTTAACTTAAGATGTTGGGAGATCCAACCGTTTCTTAACGCCAAGCTGCATGATCGTCTGAAAAATCAGGCAACTTAATAAAAAAACAAAACACCACCATCCAAAACTTACATGGCCTTTTAAATAGTGTTTGGAAGAACACCTTAAAAATGTGTAAGAGGCAGAACAAAAGTTTCTTTAAAAAAAAGAAAGAATACGAAGTGCTGTGACTGCTCTAAAAACATCAAACAGCAGGGGTTTCCAAAGACGGCTTTTCATTAGCTAACAAAAGAACAAAGGACTAAGACAAAATAGCAAAGATGAAGCTGCCATAAATTCTGAGAAAAGGTTATCAGGGAGTGAGACAGAGACTAAACAGAGAACAAACCCCACTCCCTCCTAGCACCGATGGAAGTTATCTAGTTGGGTAATGAAATGTTTGCAAGGAAACCACCAAGCTCAGAGAGCACTAAGGAGCCTACAGACCTCCTCCGCTTCTTCTCCACTCTGAAAACCCCATCCTCTTCTAGCACTGATGATGTTACCTAGTTAGTGTTGTGGCAGCAGATTCCAACAGTGAGGAGGTTGGGGAGGAACATGGGCCGGTCCGGTCCTGTAGTCTGGCGAGAGCTCTGCGTCAGAGGCAAAGATGGGGCCAGGGCCATCCGACAGTTATCAGCTGCCTTCAGAGTTGGAGATCAGTGGGGCAGAAGAACAGCTGGAGCCTGTTCCCAGTTTGCGCATGCGCAGAGCTGCCAGGAGAAGGGAACAGCTAAGGAACAAGGGCCGACTTGGGAGTAAAGCCACAGGTGGAAGGTGATTGGCCCCTCCCAGAGGAAATAAAAGAGGAGCAAAAGGGGAGNAGCTTCTGCCAACCTAGCAGTTCGAAAGCATGTAAAAATGCAAGTAGAAAAATAGGAACCACCTTTGGTGGGAAGGGAACAGCGTTCCGTGCGCCTTCGGCGTTGAGTCATACAGGCCACATGACCATGGAGACGTCTTCGGACAGCGCTGGCTCTTCGGCTTTGAAACGGAGATGAGCAGCGCCCCCTAGAGTCGGGAATGACTAGCACTTATGTGCAAGGGGAACCTTTACCTTTACCTTCCAGGTCTTATTTTAGCCAATTCATCAGAATGCATTTAAATTAACAATGCATGGGATTACTTGCTTTTTTACTTCACGGCCTGTCTCATCATAATTCAACAGTACCTTTTAGAGGTGTGGGGTGGGAGTGGCTGGAGCCAGACTGAAGGTTTCTCGGGTTGCATAAATGTGACTTTGTCCTCTTAAAAGACAAGGCTTGATGGAGGTCTTACCTTTTATCAGTTTGCCATCATTGCTAATTTTGATGGCAGCTGCGTCCTTGGCATTATTTCCTTCAACCGCTGAATCGGCGTCTTCGGGACTCTGCTCAGCAGGAAACTGGGTCTCTCCAGGTGCCACGCTGGGCGTGTCAGTAGAAACGTCCTCCGACAAAGAGGCAACCTGCTTTTAAAAGAGAGAGGGTGGTGGTAATCCACTATGTAGCACAATCTCAAAAGTGGAAGTTGCAGCGGAATAAATGTGAAGAAAGCCACCGAGGGACCCCTGCTTTCAATTGGGCAGCTCATCAACCCCACGCAGGGTTCTTAAGAATGTTTTAAACTGATGAAGGCTTAAAAATAGTAGGTATTACCCAACTTTGGAGCCAGGAGTTATTCCAAAAGTGGAAATCATATTGATAACTTGAATAATTTTACAAGACATGAATGGAGCATTCATCAGCAGCATATACAAGGAGTCATCGAGTTATGACTGCTTGTTTAATGAGCAAAGGTGTGAAAATCCCACCCAAGCGACTTATAATCGGTCCTCGCTCTTACGACCATTGGTCATAGGTGCAAGGATCAGGCACCCCCATGGTCATGTGATCGAAATTGGGGCGATTGGTAACCCACATTTATGATGGTTGCAATACCTCAGGGTCACAAAAATGCAAGTCCTGACAAAGTGACTTATGATTGATTCTCGCACTTATGACCCTTGGTCATAGGTGCGAGGATCAGGCACCCCCATGGTCATGTGATCGAAATTTGAGCAATTGGTGACCCACATTTATGATGGTTGCAATATCTCAGGGTCACAAAAATGCAAATCGATAGGGGGGGGGAGCCTAATTCACTTAATGACTGCAGCAAAGATTGGATGTGGCTTAGTGTCCCGGGGGGGGGGTGTTCATAGAATTCCTCCTTTGCGACAAGCAAAATCAATGGGAGAAACCAAATTCACTTAACAACCGTGTTACTTACTTAACACTGGCAGAGATTCACTTAGCAACTGCCAAAAGAAAGGTTGTAAAATGAGTCAAAAACTCACTTAACCAATGTCTGACTTAGCAACGTACATTTGGAGCTCAATTATGGTCGTGAGTCGAGGACTACCTGTCTATCTGGGGGCCCTTTACGATTTCATCAGAGCGATTCTGTTCTCAAAAGTAAAGTGGATTCTTTCTTGTGCCAGTGGAAAAAAAGGAGGAGATCTTAAAAGGTTATTATACATGGATTTTAATTAAAAGCCCGCGTGGCTCTCATTATCTGAACATATAGATGTATCAAAGCTGTCTGTACATCATAATGACCAGACTATTCTCAGGGTTACAATCCCAATTGCTGATAGCAGCAAATTGGCAGCGTGTGAAAAGGTATCATTACATCTCGGCTCGAAAAGATAAAGAAATATCATTTTTGCCTTTAATCAATGCTGTGATGGAAGGGAGGATTTTTGATGGGGAAGGAGCATCACCCGTTCGCTCAAAACCATCTGAAGTATGTACAGGTAGTCCTCGGCTTACTACTGCAAGGGAGACCCAGGATTCCTGTTGCTAAGCGAGACAGTGGTCAAGTGAGTTTTGCCCTGTGTTACCTTTCTTGCCACCGTTGTTAAGGGAGTCAGTGCAGTTGGTTAATGTTCTGACCCAGGCTCCCCTAGAAAGCATGAAGCAGAGTCTTGGTCCCGACAAAACCTCTTTTATTTACACGACTGTGGATTCCTTTCATTCACAGTCTGCCAGGCTTGGCAAACAGCCTTTCAGAGGAATGTTTATCCACACGCACCTTATCTTGTTTGGAGAGCTGCCAGATAGCTAGTTTCCAGATGCAGAGTAAGGCAACACTTGACACAGAGTCTCTTATAGTCACAAACAGAACTTTCCACTCTTGAAACGACCAAAGGAATGAATTGTTTCCTGCAAAAGTCCCCTCCCCATTCGCTCCTCTTTTGTTTCCTCTGGGAGAGGCCAATCACCTCCAAGGTATGGCTCTTAAGTCGACCCTGCTTTCTTAGTTGTTCTTTTCTTCTGGCACACTGGGAACAGGCTTCACCTGTTCCTCTGCCTCACTGCTATCTAGCTCCCTCTCTGCCTCCGATGCAGAGCCCTCGTCTGAGCTTCCCTCAACCCCCAGGACCAGCCCCTGTGAACCAGTTGCCAAGCATCTGAATTTTGATTGTATGGTGGTGGAGATGCTGTAAAGGTCATGACTGCAGAAAACGGTCATGCATCACATTTTTCAGTGAGGGTGTAACTTTGAACAGTCACTAAACAGGAACGGTTGCAAGTTTGAGGACTATCTGTATTTTATCAGAAACAATAACTATCAAAAGTAGCTTTCCTTGACTACCAGCCCGTTTGATCAGAAGGCACCTTTCAGGAGACACTGAATACACGCAAACCTGCCTAAAATCAACTAATTCAACCATCAACACTAACACATCCAAGACAACCTTTGTGGTTCTCTTAAAGATGAGTCCCAAAAGGTACTTTTTCAAGAGGCAACTGGACTTTCTGGTTTTTTTCTTTGAAGACGTTTCACTTTTCATCCAAGAAGCTTCTTCAGTGCTCCAACAACCCTCTAAAACAGGGGTCCCCAACCTTTCGGACCTCAGGGACCGCTAAATTTATAATTTTAAATTCTGTGGACCACTAGTACTATCTGCCTAATGACTGGATGGGTGGGCGTGGCTAGGTGAGCATGGCCAACTTGATGTCACTCACATTGAGGGGCGTCTCACCGGACTCTACTGGCCCCTCCCCTTCCAGCCACTCCTCGCCTGCCCGCCTGGGCTCCTTGGGGCCTCAACAGGAAGCCGTTGCTGGAGCTAAGCAGCCACCAGGAGAAAGAGTTGGCAAAACAGCTCAGTTCAAACTGGATCTGACCGAGAAGGAGGTTCAGCAGAAGCACCTCACTGAGGACTACGAGCATGTGCTTTCCAAGCAGAGAGAAGACCTGCGGGAGTGCAAGGCCAGGTACCGGCAACTGGAGGCTCAGCGGGCTGGGATGGTCAGCCAGTTCCAGGCCAGGATGCAGTCCCACTGGAACGAGGCCCTCCAGCTCTTTGCCACCAGCGATACTTCCCTCCACCTTCGCCCAAAGCTGAATTTCGGAATTTCTGCCCCCCTCCGACCCACACAAAAAGACCCCGAAAGAGGAGACTCTCTGCAGCAACACAAGCGTTCATCTCAGGGGCCGTAGTTTGAGGACCCCTGATTTAGTGCAATATAAAAAATGCAAATAAATTTTCTGCTGACCACCAAAATGTTCTCACGGACCACCAGTTGTTGACCGCTGCTCCAAAAGGATGCAGATGGCCAGCTGTCCTCAAGGAATACAAATCCTTCCATTCCCCACCATCCAGTTGGAGCTGGAGAAACTTCTGGGATGAGAAACCTTGGGCCAAGGGACGGAGGCCAATTGTTTTCCATTTCAAGTTCTCGTTCAAATGTACGTTGACACTACCGCTTCCCGATCATTACAGCAACTCAGAGATTCATTTAAGGAGTCCTGCGCTATGAGCTTCATATTAGGACTGTACAAAGCCATTTTAAATGAAGAAATGGCTCGAGATATGCTTGGGAGTGGAGCGGTGGGGGAAGAGAATGAAGCCTTCAAGGAACAATCTGTGGGTCTAGCTTTGCTTATCTGCTGCCACTAATAGCAGCGATTGCGCTTAAGAGGGCTCATGGCAGGAATTTCTATCCCCCTATGCTCAAAAAAAAAAAAAAAAAAGAAGAAGAAATGAATACATTACGCTGGCAGAGCTCGTCTGCCAAAGAGGAAGGGGGTGAATTTATTCAGGAAAGATCTGGCTGCGTTTTGCTTAATGAGGAAGAAAAGTAATTGCAAGAAAAAAATATATTAATGATCGAATTGGAGGCCGCCTTAAGTGGACTTACAAGACTGTATCTATTTGCTGAGTGTATCAGTTTTTAGCTAATTTCACATGCTGCCTTCAAGCTTGGTTTAAGGTTCATTTGCTGAACAAGTTATCACTGGACATCTTTACTCCTCAAATTAAACAAGATCACCATGATTTTGAACCACGGGCAGTCCTCAAGCTGCGAGTGGGACCGAAATTTCTGGTGCTAAGTCGCTGCAAATCACAAAGTGAGTCGTCACGTTTTTACCATGGTCGTGAAAGTGAGTCGGTAGTTTTAAGCAAATCACCGGGTCATGTCATGAAGCCAATCCAGCTTCCTCAGCTGACTGGGTCGAAAGTGGTGGGAAGGTTTGCAAGTTGTGAGCAAGCTGACTTTAAGACACCGAAAGCATCGTTAAATGCGAGCCGACTGCCTAAATTGCGACCATGCGATGGTTCAATGGTTGCAACTTCCAGGACGGACCGACATCATTTTAAACAAACGGACGTAAGCCGAGCATTACCCTGTGCAGTTTACCAACTACAGGAAATGCCACCTGCTCTGCTGACAGACAGCCACCAAGCTGTATTGTGGCTTAGGATAATGTGCACCAGCCAGAAAAGAGGGATGTGAAAATATGTACAGACCCCTCGCATCCTGGACACAAACTGTTTCAACCTCTTCCGTCAAGACGATGCTATAGGGCACTGAACGCCAAAACAACTAGACACAAGGATAGTCATCCCCCCCCCCCAATCATTCTGGTAAACAACTAATCCCCACAACTACTGAGTAGGGCTGTATTACTATTATCCTTCTCATTTTTCCTATTCCTGTGTTTTTAATCTTCTAATGACTATAATTTTGTTGCTTGCATCTTACAATTTATATCGTTGTATTGAGTATCTTAGTATCATTTTATGTGGAGTGTTTATTTAGTATCCTGTTGACTATCAGTAAGGGTTGCAACTTATGGTTTCTGATGTGTTCTTATGATTGTGATCATGATTTATCACCTGTTGCTTGCATGTACACTGAGAGCTTCTGTACCAGAGACAAATTCCTTGGGTGTCCAAACACACTTGGCAACAAAGTATTGTATTGTTCTGTTCTGTTCTATTGTCTATTTTATTCTATTCTTTATTCTATTCTTCCTTCTTTCCTCTTCCTCCCTGTTCTGTTCTATTCCCTTCTATTCAACTTCTCATTCTCTATTCTATTCTTCACATTTTATTCTATTCTACTCTACCCTAATTTCTATTCTATTCTGTTCTGTTCTATAGTCTTCTCTTCCTCTATTCTATTCTATTCTATTCTATTCTATTCTATTCTATTCTACCCTAATTTCTATTCTATTCTGTTCTACATTCTCTTCATCTATTCTATTCTATTCCTATTCCCTATCCCTTCCATATCCTAAAACCAGAAGCTAATTATCAACATTTATCAGCTCTGTGGACTTGAATGGAATTTTAACTATTAAGCATTACATACCAACTTGAGTTTTTTTTTCTTTGGGAGAAACCCAGGTGTTAAAAATCATGGTCTCATGGTCTCCCTGTAAACATTATGGGATGTTTGATACAAATGTAATATTTGTGTGTGTGTCAGGGCTCCCTGTGTCCTTCTTTTGAAGAAAAAATAAAAACAAACAGTTCACATGCCTTTTTTTTCCCTGGAAAACATGCTGCACTGTTTGACGCCCCATTAAACCGAACGGCAAAAAAAAAAAAACCCTGTTTAAAATTGGAAGAGCACTCTGCTTCATTAGTGTCCCAGCTATTAATTTCAAAAGCACCCGTGTCCCCATTATGGCAAAAAAGGAGCGAAACAGACAGTTTCCTGGCAACCGCACGGTGTGTTTGCAATCTGTTCCATCAAACAACAATCAGAGGAAAAAAAACATAAAAAGCTAGAAGGCAAAGCAACAGGTCCCGCTTCCTGCAGTGACCTTAGTCGTATTGGTGGGTCTGTGCCACAAAGCTCCTGGAATTTGAAGGCAAAACACAAATTCGGGCTGCGAATGATATTCAGCGTTTAACTAAGCGTTTTACCTAAACCAGGCAAATCCCAAAGGGAAGAAGATGAGTCTGAGTTTAACCCATTTCCCACCCTGCCCAAGGAAGATGAGGCGAGAGATGTCCATGTCACCCATTGAGTAGAGAAGATGGACTGTGCCCAACCACACTGTGCCAGTTTAGAGGTGGCAATTACTCCTACCCCCAGTTCAAGGGGCGGGGCATTAGAATTAACCAAGTTCAATAACGAATGCCGGTAATAATCATGGATAGAACTGACGGATCCCATCTGTTTATATCGACCATTTTCGTGCAGGTATATAAAACAAGGTCATTTTTTTTTTAAAGTCTTTTAGGAGTATATACACACAGGCAAAACTGGTTGCCAGCCATTTTCAGGTAAGGAGCACATGTACACACACAGAGAGAGAGTCAAGGAGACAAAGTGTGTGTGTGACAGAGACAGAAGGAGGGAGAGAGAAGAGGGAGGGAGGGAGAGAGAGCCAGAGAGAGAAGGAGAGAGGGAGACAGGAGAGAGAGAAGGAGAGGGAGGGAAACAGAAGGAGAGAGAGAATGAGAGAGGGAGACAGAAGGAGACAGAGAGTAGAAGAGGAAGGGAGACAGGAGAGAGACAGAGAGAAGGAGAGGGAGGGAGGGAGGGAGACAGAAGGAGAGAAAGAAGAGGGAGGGAGACAGAAGGGAGAAGGAGGGAGACAGAGAAGGAGAGGAAGGGAGACAGAGAAGGAGAGGAAGGGAGACAAAAGGAGAGAGAGAGAGAAGGGGGGAGACAAAAGGTGAGAGAGATACAGAGAGAGAGAAGGAGAGGGAGGGAAACAGAAGGTGAGATAGAGAGAAGAGAGAGAGACAGAGAGAGAGAAGGAGAGGGAGGGAAACAGAAGGTGAGAGAGAGGGGAGGGAAAAAGAGAGAAGAGGGAGAAGGAAAGAAAGAGAGGAGGGAGACAGAGGTGGGGGGAGAGAGACAATATGTGTGAGATCACTGGTGCTTGGTTGTTTTCTTGCAGACATTTCATCCATCATTCAACATCATCCTTCTAGGCATTGTCTATTCACTGCCGGATGAAGGTTCCTTCTGCCTGTTTCCAACCCAAATGGCCCTGAGCTTATTTTGTGCCAACTGGGTCTGCCATACTTGATGTCTTTGAGCCACCTGTTCCGTATATTTAGAATATATGAAACATGTTCAATATATTCGAAATGTATGAGATAATTTCAAGGTTATCTCAGTTACCCCCAAGATTTAACACCAGGCTGACAACTAAGTTGTAAACACAGCCCACACAAGAAACCGCCCAGAAGAAAAACACTTCCTTCAACAGTGACAGGGCAAGCCACTTTTGTATATCAATAGAGAGCAAACCCCATTCTCTTCTAGCACTGATGATGTCACCTAGTTGGGTCATGAAAAGTCTGCAAGAAAACAACCAAGCTCAGAGAGCACCAAGGGTGATAAAGCCCTCCTCCTCTCCATAAACCCCATGTCTGGTTTCCCCAAAATGCCCTAATTGATTCACGAGTCTCGGGCAAAACTTCAAAAGAAAATTAGTCATTTATTAGGAGCATTTATTTTGGCAAGATCTTTTCCAAGTCAGATCTTAGCCTCATTTGAATTATAGCTGAACTTTACCCCCGTTCCTCCCCTCCCCTCAGTCTGTGTCATAAATCACATTCCCCAATGAGGTGCACCCCTCCCAAGTCTGCTGCGGTAGCTGAAAGTATGTGTGGAATGCACTCCCCCCCTTCCTCACTATGGCATCATTAGGAGTTGACATCCCACTCATGGGAAACTGGTCCCTCCCTCAAGGGCCCCAGTCATTCAATAAGACACTCTGCACTGGTTTTGGGGGGGGGGGGGAGAGGCAAGAACAAGGCAACATGTATCACTGTTACGTTATACTTTCATAAGCCTACCTTTGAGCTGTCACTGGCCTCTTTCTGAAGGAAGAACTGTTTCTTAAATTCGTAGTAGGCATTGTACTGATGCCAAGGCTGCAGAAATTCAAATCTGTTAAGGAGGAGACAAAACAGTAGACGGTTCTCAACTTACGACCACGCACCGGGCGGCTGCTCTTTTGGTTTCTGGCACACACACGTGTTCCCATTTTGGCACTTGGCGTTGAAAAGGTTCATCAACACTGGCCTAGATTCTTCTTAAAAACATCTGGGGATGGAGTGCCCACCATTTCTGGAGGCAAGCTGTCCCACTGGTTAATTGTCCTCACTGTTAGGAAGTTTCTCCTCAACGTCTTGCTTAATGTCAGAAAGGTTGGGCTCAAATTCTTAAGTCGAGCGCTACCTGCATTCCCTCTCTGGGAGGGAGATGGATAATTTAAAAATGTGGTACAGGAGTCAATATGGGGAAAATACATGTGTGCATCGCCATCCCTCAACTCTAAGTCGTGGCCATAATTCATTATTTCCCCACCTAAGGAAGAAAAAGGCTATATAAGATTCTGAAAATAATAAATTACACCCCAAGGCCCAGAACTTACATATGCCTGGAAGCCAAGCTTCCAGATTCTTTGGCAACAATGCTTTATCATTAACTTCCAGTAGTTTCCTTGAATTTTAATGTGAGGAACTACAATAGGTTACTATGTTTTTCGTTTCCCCCTGACAAGACCGTCAATAAGAGAACGTGGGGCGAAGCTACTCGCTCGGTTTTATCGTAAAATGGAATTAAGACCGAAGTCTCCCCCCTACTCACCTCGGATCATTCTTGGCACGAACGCTGGTCTCAAATTTAATCCCATTTCTCGCAACATACTCGGCTAGCTTGTCAATTACGGGCTGGATATCTGGAGGTGGAGGGATGACGGCAACCACTGGAGGAATTGAGCTGGGAAATGTCAAGAGTTGTAAGATTTACACAGGCAGAGAACACAAACCTATTAAAATGGGGGAAGCAGCTCTTTTTTTAAGGCATCACCTGACGGGAGGGCTAAACAGGGAAAAGCCAGGTATTTCACCAGCAAGGGGGGTGGGGGGCGAGACAAGGGAAATGCAGATCAAAGCAGTGCTCAAATTATTATTTTTTACTATTGGTTCTGTGGGCGTGGCTTGGTGGGTGTGGCAAGGGAAGGGTACTGCAAAATCCCCATTCCCTCCCCACTTCTGGGGGAAGGATACTGCAAAATCCATGTTTTCACTCCACTCCAGGGGAAGGATACTGCAAAATCTCCAATCCTTCCCCACGTCTGGGGGAAGGATACTGCAAAATCCCCATTGCCTCCCCACTCTGGGGCTAGCCAGAGGTGGTATTTGCTGGTTTTCCGAACTACCATATTTTTCAGACTATAAGGCGCACCATGATTTTGAACAGGTAAATAAATAAATAAATAAATAAATAGTGTTTGCACTCTGCAGGCTTCCCAAACCCTCTGCACGTCTCATTTTTTGCAAAAAAGAAAAGAAAAGAAAAAAGGAGGCATGCAGAGCTTTGGGCGGCTTGTAGAGTGCTCCTGGGGGTGGGTGCAAAGATGCCCCATTTTTTGTTTGTTTATGTCCTCCCCAGCCCCCAGGGGCACTCTGGAAGCCTCCCAAACCCTCTGCATGTCCACTTTTACAAAGGGGGTGGGGTTTCGGGAGGCCAAAAATGCTGTATTTAGTGTATAAGAAGCAGCCGGGTTTTCACTCTCTTTTGCGGGGGGGGGGGGGGGGGGGGGGGGCGTTTTTACCC